GGACCTGCGAGTGCGCAAGAGACTCTCACCCCACCCCTCCTTTCCCCTCCCACCGCTCGTAACGTGTCATTGTGTTTCTTGGGCGAGGTTGATTTCTTCTAAAAAGTTTTCAGCGGCTGCGGTCCGAATGACGCAAAAAAAGAAGCCATTCCATTAAAATCTATTTACATTCGCCGCCCCGTCTTTCATGGGGCAGGGAAAGCCCCGTGTTTGTTTGTGGCCTTGCTGTTGCATTGCAAAAGTTAACACGCACATTTGCGTGATCATCTTGTTTGCGGACGAACCGTCGAGATACTCGATTTCTGGCAGCTCAACTCGACTGGTTTCCATCAACACCGGCCTCTTTGCTAGGGTTCTTTTGGTCTAGATCTCTTGCCTTCTTTTTTTTTTTTTTTACAGTTGCTGCTGTCACTAACGATAAATTATACCAGGCGGAAATAGAGGACTGTTTTCTTGGACAAATACAAAATAAGCTTTTCAGGAAATATTATTTCTGTTTTCTAAAATGAGGGACAAAAAACCCCCCACAGGGTCAGTGTGTCTTTTTGAAACTTTAATTCGACCTAGAGCTATTTGGCGCTGAAAGCAGAACTAAGGTGAGTCCCTTTTGTGAAAATAAAACCGTCTTCAGCAGTTATTTATCCTGTTAATACATTTTCCACGTTCTGCTATTAGATTTCCTGTAACTTATGGCCTCCCGCAATTCAGCTTTCCCATCTCTTGGGCGCTGCCGTTGCATATGGAACCCAGGTGCCGATCCAGCTCGCCTGCAAAAGCGAACGGAAGCCCTTCCAGGGTGAGACTGTCTGTCACTCTTGCCTACCAATCCGGGGGTGCATTTCCTTTTAGGTCCACCTTCTAAGGGGGCGTGTCTTTGGTGAGTGATAGCCTGAGACGCCCCAACCGACCCAGCCCAGCCCACGTTGCTGCGAGATTGAAATGCGGGACTTAAGTCTCCTGCCTCGGGAAAGTGACTTTCTTGGGGTCCTTTTCCTTGACATTCTCGCCTTCCCCCGCGATAGGAATCCGAGCCAGCCGGGGCCTTCTCCGGAGCCGATCCCGGCGAGCCGGGCAAGACCCACCCCGCGCCGAGTTTCCTCCGGGGATCTCCACGCACCCTGCCCGGCGTCCTGAGTCACACCATGGGTGAGTGGTCTTGCTGGAGAGGCGTCGGAGGTTGGGAGAGGGGGTGTTAAGACAGGCGCGGGTGGGCAGTCGGGTAGCTCCTGGCTCCCACGGGCGCCCGGCTGGCTTCGCTTGTAGCTCTGACTCTTGTTGGGGGAAAAGGCGTTGGGAAGCAACGGCGGCAACCGCAAGAAGCGCCAGTGCTGGAGAAGGCGAGCCCAAAGTATTGGGGGCCAGGGGGGGAGCGGGAGGGCATGTGACCGACCCCAGACTTCTGTAACCCGGGACTCTCTCTCGCTTCCCCTTCTCCCCCCTCAAAGCTGTTTGTGTTTCGGCGGGGGAAGCCTTTCTGGCTGACGGGAGGGGAAGAGAGCAGTCCCCGCAATCGGCGGGATCGCTTCCCACTTCTCTGCGGGGTTATTTAGCTTTTCCGGCCGCCAGTTTCTTAGGCACTGGGCTTTTCTAGACAACTTCGTCAACGCGCCGCCTCGAGAGGAGAAGGAAGCTGGCCGCCCCAACGGCGTTGACTAAGCAGTCCGCTCAGTTTTCAGCTGGAGGAGTGCTTTCCAAGGAACGCCTCGGTCCTCGGCTGCCCTAACACCCCCTCCCCCCCAATCCTGTGACTCCGGGTGAATTGCCTGGAGTGGCTTCCACTCCAGTGCGGGGAATGTGCGGACTCGGGGCCCTGCGAGGCTTGGGAAGAGGTTGGTAGGGATACTCACCTAGTGGCTGCTGTCCCAAACCGCCTGCTCGTTGCCGGTTGCACTCAGGGAGGGAAAAGTCTCATGGGAAATTCAAGGACCGGAGTCCCCGCGACTAGAAGCCTGCAAGGGCGAACTCCTTAAGGCGTCGGCTACTAGCTAGGTGCGCCCTTACTACGAGTTAAAAAGGCCGCGGGATCTCGGCCGAGCTTGCGTCCCAGGCAGCGGCGATCAGCCCAACACCAAGCCAGCCTTGCCCGGGAAGGAGACGCGCTTCTCAAGCGTTTGGCAGTCCCGATGTCCCTCCTTTCCCTGCCCTTGTTCCAGGCTGACCGTGTCGCCAGACTCCGGGTGCCTCTTCCAACGTGCCGCTGCTTCTCTTTGTTCGCAGAGCCAGCCTTCGGGGAGGTCAACCAGCTCGGCGGGGTCTTCGTCAACGGCCGCCCTTTGCCCAACGCCATCCGGCTTCGGATTGTGGAACTAGCTCAGCTGGGCATCCGACCGTGCGACATCAGCCGGCAGCTGCGCGTCTCCCACGGCTGCGTCAGCAAGATCCTGGCGCGCTACAACGAGACCGGCTCCATCTTACCCGGGGCCATCGGAGGAAGCAAGCCGCGGGTCACCACGCCGACGGTAGTGAAGCACATCCGGACTTACAAGCAAAGGGATCCGGGCATTTTTGCTTGGGAGATCCGGGACCGGCTGCTGGCCGACGGCGTGTGCGACAAGTACAACGTCCCCTCGGTCAGTTCCATTAGCCGGATTCTGCGCAACAAGATTGGAAACCTGTCTCAGCAGAATCACTACGAGGCTTACAAGCAGCACCAGGCAGCTCCGCAGCCGCCCCTGCCTTACAACCACATCTACTCTTATCCCAGCCCCATAGCTGCAGCAGGTGCCAAGGTGCCTACCCCGCCTGGCATGCCGACGATCCACAGCGCCGTCCATATGCCTCGGACCTGGCCCTCCTCTCATTCCGTCACTGACATCTTGGGAATTAGGTCCATAACAGATCAAGGTAAGAGGTTCAGACTTCCAGCTAGGGAAGAGGATTGGTCAACCGAACCCAAGAAGCCCACCCCTTCCAGAGGTTCTACGGTCTGTTGTATGGACTGGGGTGGGGGACGGGGCTCCCAGTGGTTTCTCTGCAGACCAGTCGATGCTGTAGCTTCAGAAAATGTCTAGTGTAGTTTCCTTAAAAGGGGGAGAGATTCAGAAAAGGACATGAATTAGCTTTCGTTGAGGATCATCAACAGCCTTGATTCCCTGGTCTTTAACTGGTGGGCTTTGAAGGAAGCCCTAAGTTATAGCATTGTATAGCATCATCCAGCTGTTGTGTTAAAGTCTGTCTTCATGAACAGGTTTGGATGATGCTATAAATGCTATAAATGGTTTAGGTGGTAATGGCCCTGGTGGAACTTGATTCTAAATACATTTCCTCTCTCTTTGTTCTAGTGGCATTTTTCGCTTAGCTGCAGGACCTTCCCCTTTTAAAGGGGTCCTAAGAATATAAGCACAACCCCATTGGATCAATGGGCCCAGTGGTGTGCTCTCACACTGGCCAACCAGCTGTACAAGGAAGCCCAGCAGATGGCCTTCAAAGGCAGTCACATTGCCATCAAGGCTAACAGCCATTAATCCCCATAATGTGGAAACCTTTCTCAAATTTTATGTATCTGATACATTTTAGTATGTATCATGTTTGGCTGAACTTTCTGGTGGCCAGAACTTTGTTTGCACATGCTTCCTTATCTGGGAGGGAGCCTTAGAGAATTTCACGATTGAGCAACAAGTGATTCCCAAATACGTTTCTCTCTGAGAAGCTTTACATTTAATTATAAAGGGGAAATAAATGAAACTGAAAAGAAATACAATATTTTCTCCCAATGAAAATGTTTTCATGGCAAAACCCATTATTTTGGAAGCAAATATGATAAAAACAATTGACATATATTAGTTTATATGATAGTATGTAGTATTGGCAATATTTTAGACCATGTCTTTAGACCATATCAGTTTGGGGAGGACCCTCGTTTCAAAAGCAGAAGCAGTAGGCTCATTTATAGTGAAGCTCTTGTATGTCTCCAGTAGATGAACACATCACTGTGCTGAGATATAAGCATTGATTAAAGATGGGAGGGAAAATGTCACATGTATGTGTAACACATTTGTTACACATTTGTTGCACATACATAAGCAACACAACATCTAGGAAACATATAAGTGCGTTTCTACAATTCTCCAGTTTAATTGAGCTCACTAAAATCAAAGCAGCAGGTGTAGATGAGCCCACAGAGACATGCCCAACAAGCTTTCAGATGTATTTACCTGCATTTATTCACATTTTGAAATAAAATCAACTCAGCTAAAAAGACAAGTCCCAATACTTGGCACATTTGCTGTGAATCGGTTGTGTTGATCTTGACTGGATTCAACATCTGTGTAAACAGTGTTGCTGATGCATTTCATTTCTGGATTAGTTTGCAAGTACCTCATATTGGCTACTGCATCTAAGTATGGTTAAAAAGATAATGGATGAAATAGGGTTGGGAAAAGAATAACTTCCTGTGTTACTACGTTCTTGTGCTTATGAAAAAGAGAAGTAACTAGTAATGATGTCAACGTCTTAAAACATTAAAGAATCCAATGGCAGTTTTAACACTAACCCTTTTATTGTGTTAGTAGCTTTTGTGAATTATAGAGGTCTCTTAAGTGAAAAGGTGAATTGCCAAGGCCATATGTGTGGGTGCATGTATGTGTGTTCATGTATGTACACACACACACACACACACACACACACACACAATAAACATGTACGTGTCGAGTAATCACACAATTTATTACAGGGAGAAATAAACACAGCTAACCTTTTCATGGCCAAGTTCTTTTGGCTACCAGCATACCTAAACTACAGAATCACACATAATCCCCGTTCGGGTATATTTACTTTTTTCTCTGCTAGGCTTTTGTGCTGATATTTGCTCTCAAGTCAGAGCTTCTGTGGCAAAGGCACCTCCTCGCAATTGCAGGCAAAGTCTTTCTCGAGTTCTCGCAATCAGTGCAAATTTGCTCAGACAGGAAGTTCAAATGTCACCTAATTGCTTTCGTTCTCCTGCTTCACTTTGTTGTGCTCCGAAGCGGTGGTCCAGAAAACCGAAACGGCCTATGTTTAATTTGCGTTTAAGCCCCTTCCGAGGCCCGCCCGCCTCTCCCGACTTCGCTGCGGAATTCCAGACGGGGCAGTTCAGGAAGGCTTAGCGGGATTTGCCCGGAGCGGCGAGTGCCGTGCAATAGGCACGGCCCCACGGATACTCATGTTAAGGCCTCGACTCTGCAGCCCCATAGATCCGAACCGACTTCATTTCACCAACTGTGAAAGCAGGCGAGATCAATACAGTTGCCCATTTTCATTCAATGCTGGCTTGCAACACATTCAACCAGACTTTTGTGCGAGAGACACAGAGGTGTGTAGGTGCACGTTTGTGCGGTGCTCACACAAACAATAAACGTTAAGAGTGTACAACGCACACGCCTTATGGTTGCCAATAAAGAAGCCTCCGTTTCCAAATCTTTTTTTTTAACTGAGGATCGCATCGGGCTGCCCAATTCCCTTTCCCAGGGCGCTGCTTGCGAGCATCCCCTGCCTTTTGGTCCGGCATGGCGGGAACATCTGCTAGAATCGTTGTGCACAGAGAGCGCGTGGGAGGCGGGGTGGGGGCGCAGTGCGGGCGGGCGGAAAAGCAGCGCGAGCTGGCCTGATTTCCGTGTTTATTAACTCCCCCCCGGGGCCGAGGCCACCTCTCTGGGTAGGAGGCCCGCGAACGGGGGGGGGGGGGCATTGGGTTTATCTCCGAGCTCGCCTCCCCCCCCCCACGTCTCCCGCCTCTGGCTGTTCGGCTTTGATTTATTGGTTAAGTTGACCTTGCTGCCGCGGAAAGGAAGCCCTATTCGTGGGGAAGGGAGGTCGCCAGAGGCGGCTCTCCCAGGCAGGCTACGGCCTGGGCCTGTCACACTGCTCGGCCGCAAACCGACGGAGAAGCGCGGCTGACCCGGCTCCGAAGCCTTTCGAGCACACGGGGTTGGTTGGCGTTGCCTGCAGGCCTCTTCTGCTCTCCGCTGGCCTTCCAAAGGCTTCTCCCTCCCTGCTGCCTATAGCTCGATCACACCGTCCAGGCTTCGCAGATCTGCTTAAGCCCACTGCCCTGGGCTGCTCAGTCTTCTGGATCCCGCCGGGTGAAGGATCGGGGGCAGCCGCTGGGTAGCGTGGATGGGCCGAAACTCAGAGGTTCTTCCTTCCTCTCGCCTTATTGCCACTGATGCTTCTTACTTGGGACACACGCAACCCGTTGGTTTCAGCGGAATCTCCGTTCCTCATCGTGAAAGAATAGTGCAATTGGAAGGCAGATCGCCCTAGTAGCTGTATGTACGTGTCAATGTGCATTGTGTGTCTCTGTGTGTGAACAGCCTGTGTTTGCACGCACACGTTGCAGGTCAGAGAGAGAGTGTGTGTTTCGGAGAATGGCTTCGAAGAGAGGAGTCTTTCCCACATTTCTACTTCTCCCAAATCTTTTTATTTTTTAAAAATTTTGTTTTCTCATTTTTTATTTGAGAAATAATGGCGCCAGTAGTCAGCAGAACTGCCCACTGGCTGCAGCACGGGAACAGAAGGCCAATTTCAACCACATTGGGTTTTAAAAAAATCCTGTCGCCTTTTCCTCTTTTCGTGCTAGGAGGATATAAGTGGGAATTGGGGGAAGAAACAGAGAGGTTGGAAACCGCGCAGCAGGCGGCAGGCCAGCTTTTTCCTTTTAGCTTTTTAGGATTATCCGCAATAAATTTAATTTCGGTGCATAACCTGATTAGGCTGCAGTTGTTTGAAATTCTCCGTAGGCTTCCGTCTTCCTTTGCATGCTATAAATTCAAATCCTCCGTAGACTAAGATTTCCCTCCACCTATGCCAGGTGGACCTCCTAAACTCACTTGAACTAGAAAAAGTCAAGCCAGGCATGAAACCACAGTCTCTGTAAGGGTATTAAGGAGATGGTTACGTTTCTCAGGGATATTCCCCTCAAACTGCTTTATTAATAGAAAGGGGTATTTGGAGAATAACAGAATTGGAGAGTTGGAAGAGGCCTTGGAGATCTTCTACTACAACCTCCTTAAAGCAGGAGACCCTACACCACTTAGACAAAGCGTTGTCCGATCTCTTCTTAAAAAAACTTCTTGTGATGGAACATCCGCAACTTCTGAAGGCAAGTTCCACTGTTTTAATTGTTCCTTCTTAGTTCTAGGTTGATTTTTTTTCCTTGATAAGTTTCCCTCGGCTACTTCTTGTGCTGCGTTCAGGTGCTTTGGAGAATAGGTTGAAACCCTCCCCCCTTCTTTCTAACAATTCAGGACCGGAATGAGGGCAGAAATGGGCAGAAATACGGCCTTGAACAATTTCCCCAACTGTCCTTGTCCTACGTGGTAGCTTTGGAGGTCCTGCAAAAATTCTTTACAAAACAACAACCTCCCATAGGTAATACATCATTAGCAGAGGGTATTATGCTATATTGGGAAAATAACTTCCTGTCCCTTCCATTGAAGGAAATGGTGTGTGTGAGTGTGTGTGTATACATAGAGCAGTTAAGCCCAGCATTGATTAAGCCCAGGTGTTCGATGGATGGCACTTAGACATTAAACTGAATCAAATTTAGCTTTTCTGGGCAAGAATTCAGTTCACCTGAATTTTTGGGGAGAGGAGAAGAAGCAGGCCAGGCCAGCTTCCCACCAAACTAATGAAAAACTACATGCCTTCCACCACCCCCATCCTCCCCAACCAATGTACCCAAGACTAAGCGACTGGGGATTTTAGTTGTTTTAAAACATGCCTACATTTAAGAACATGCAAGTCCTTTTTATTTATTTTTTTCACCCAGCCACGATCAAATTCCCATCCGGGAGCACTAAGCACGGTTTGAAAGCTTCCTTGGGTTTCAAAGGAAAACCGGGAAAATGAAGAATTTGTGTAAAGGGGAGGGGGATGGAAACCTCTAGGTAGGAGACCTGCTGGCAGTGGCCCTATGGACTGCACGAACCTGGCTTTATTTTAACAGCGTTCGGGATGAATTACCCTGAGTCCTGGGGTGAGAAGAATGGAGCTCGGATCGCTGAAGTCGGGCTTCACGAGAGCACAGAATCCCACCCTCAGAGCTTGCGTTGGTGGCGGGGACGCGGGGAGAGTGCAGGCTGGCGGCCGGCGGGATTTTCTTGATGTCTTTGATTGACCTTCAGCGTCCGCACCCCCCCCTTTCCCAGCACAAAAATTTCCTTTCGGAAGGGATCTAGTTGGAGTTCAAGGACTGATTGGAACTCAAAGGGGGCGCTTCTGTTCAGAATGCCTCTCCTTTTCTCTCTCTCTCTCACGCACACCAAACCCCCTTTCATTTCATCTGTGGAAGAAGGGACATTTTTTTTAATTGCTGGTCATTGGAAGTAGCAACTACTTTGTAGGAATATCTCAGTCACCCTGTTGCCCCCAGATTCCAGAATTACCTGCGGTTATTTTCTTTTTTATTCTGTTTAAGCCGTTTGCTTTGATACCTATTCGGGTTTCTTTTCCTTTTTAATTTTGAATGGAATCAGCGCTTTTATCATTTAAAAGTTCAGTAGATCGATTTACTCAAGGATACCCCAGCTGTAGCTGTAACCCACTTCAGGAGTTTGAGATCCGAGGTACTTTAAGATCACTACCAAAACCGCTACTGTAATGAAACAGATCTCACCGAAGCTAATCTTACTTCAATGACTTCTATTTAGTCCACCGGAAGCTTCACTGAAATTAGTAGGATTCGCTTTTGACGAAAAGGTGCTCTCCCCGGCCCCCCCCAGTTTGTACAAGGATTCAGTCCTACAATTCCTTAAAGTCATTTCCCACTAGTGATTTTCGAAGACTTAGGAAAGCTCAATTTAATCCATCGCTATTTTGATGTAGCAATAATGGAGACAGCGTGAAGTGCCCCTATAAATAAGTGCCACCAGTGAGGAAATGGCCGGATTCTCTGGGAGTGTCTTTTGTTTGAACCGCACCGTTTACTTCAAAGCAAGCATTAGAGTCTGGTTGCACGTATGAATGGGGTTGCAGAGCCTTCCAAACTATTGAGTTATTCGTGAATCTCCAAAACTCTTATTCCCTAATGCATTATTTCATTTAGACGGCAGCCTCGAACAAAATTATAGTTTCATAGTGGACAAACGTTTAGGCGGGAGAGCAGAGCTCCGAAGGCGAACTAAAGTCTTTCTTTTTACCTTTATTTTAAAAAAAGGTCTAATTCGACCTTTCAAAAGTGTCCTTGGACTTCTCCCGCCAGGATTTTTTCAATGCTGCAAACCTGGTTTGAAGGAGATGGCGTCGGAAGCACAAGTGCATTCAGAAAGTGTCTAGAGCCCCTTCACGTTTATACATTTTGTTCTATTTCAGCCTGATTCTACAGATGTTGAAATTCATTTTTCTCTTTAATCTACACATAGTACCCCATAACGACATAATGAAAACGGAATTTTAGAAACGTCTGTAAACGTATTAAAAAGGAAAAAAACAACAACCCTGAAATATATTGGCATAGTAAGAGATCCTTCACTCAGTACTCTGTTGAGGAACCTTTGGCAGGAGTTACAGCTTCCAGTCTTTGGGGGTATGGCGTGCGTGACAAGCTTTGCACACCTGGATTGGGGATTTTCTGCCATTCTTCCCTGCAAATCCTCTCAAGCTCAGTCAGGTTGGATGGCGCATATCCATCCATCCGTGGACAGCCATTTTCAGGCCCCTCCAGAGATGTTCAATAGGGTTCGAGTCAGGCCTCTAGGCTGTGTGCTTGTCATGTTGCAAAGTGAACCTTTGGCCCAGTCCGAGGACATGAGCCCTGTGGAGCAGGTCTGCATTCAGAATATCCCTGTACTTTGCTTCAGTCAATTGCCCCTCAAATCTGATTCAGTCCCTGCTGCTTAAAAACAACCCTTCCTCCCAGGCATGATGACCAGGTACTTCACTGTTGGGGTGATATTTGACAGGTGATGAGCAGGGCCTAGTGTCCTCCAGACATAACATTTAGAATTGAGGCCAAACAGTTCAATCTTCATCTCATCAAGCCAGAGAATCTGTATGAGAGTCTTTCGTGTGCTTTTTTTTTTTTTTTTTTTTTTT